GTATACACACACACACAAAGAAAAACAAGTAGATAGAATAGAAAAAATAGAAAGCTAGTGTTTGTTTGTTTTTGTTGTTGTTGTTTTTAAATAAAAATAAATAAATAAATAAGATAAATATAAAGTAGAATTAAAATAGAATAGAAAGTGCCAGAGTTAGAGGGTCAAATAGAGGTGGAACGGATGTGTTTTTAGTCGTTTCTTGAAGATGGCTAAGGACTCAGCTGCTCGGATTGAGTTGGGCAGGTCATTCCACCAGGAGGGAACAGTTAATGATATTTCCATGCGTTGACATTATGTGCTACATTATTTTGCTCATTGCGCCCTCCTGTGGCCTCGGGAGACGAAGACAGTGGTTAAATAAAAAAAAAAAATTCTATTGCTCTTTTTAAAAAAGGCTATAAAAAATTTCAATAATTATCGATATGAAACATTATATCGTTGATCATTTTTTTAGCTATATCGCCCAGCCCTAGTGTGTAGTACACTACACTATTAGGGAGCTAAAAGTAGTGATGTTTCTTAATTAACTACTTTTTCAATAGTATGCTAGTAGTTTAGCTGTTTTCAGAACAATGTAGCTTTTTTAATTTAGAGGTAGTGTAGCATGACAACATTTTACTATATATTATTATTTATATTTTTTTTTTTGTTATATCTCAAACACAGATTTGCAGGCACATGAAACTTAAGTTTGACTGTAGCATAACATAATCATTTGAGGCCTATTTTACTTTAATAATTTAAGATCTTTCTGGTATTCAATGAGAAATTTTTTTTTCACACTTTGCACAGAGGTGCCTAGGCCTTGTTGTTTTCATCTCTATGCATTGAACGTAAACTGCCAGCCTCATTTCCTCTGTGGTGAGCTTTGCCGCTGTCTTTGCCCAGCAACATAAAGATAAGTGACACACTGAAGACATTTACTTGCACTGGAGCATGTGGTCAGCACCACCACCCTCCTTTGGGCGTCTTTGTAAAGAAGGATTTCCCTTAGAGGAAAAACAGTGTTGCCAACTCAGCAGTTGTGACTTTGGAGAGTCCCAGAGGCCAAATATATTTAGACCCATCTGAGGGCCAGCTCAAGAGAGCATTCAAAACCAATCGGCGTTTCAGAGAAACAATCATATTATGCTCATGAATCCAGCCCTAGCTTTAGATCACAAGTATATACTTGAATAAGCAAGAATGCACAGAATGAGAAGACAATAGAAAGCAAACACTTCATTTTATTAACAAATATCACAAAATAAATAGACATCTTTATTTCTGTATGTAACATGAACTGAATGTGATTTCTGCCAGGCACTTCATTTCTACAGATCTGATGATGCTGTCTGTTAGTGATTCACACTAAACTACTGCTGTACCTATTCATTTTTGCTAGTATTCATTTCATAGTGAATAGTCAACATCATATTCTGACTTGTTCGTCCTGTAGCAGTAGAGTCTGTTGGTGACTAACACTGCACTAATTAGGACACTTGCTTTGATATTTTATTATCTAATGTAGTGGCTTTTATATTTTTATAAGACTCCACGTATCTTTTTTTTTTATGGTCACTGTATCTTCAGTAAGATTTGTGGTCATTTTAGGCTGGATCGGTCTCCGGTTCTTGTTTTTGTCAAGATCTACTCAAAAACACAATGCACTATTTATCATCACATTACACCAATAATTACCACATTTTTTTCACAAATGAAATGCTAATACACAAACTTTGGTCACTCTAATGTGCATTGAATATTCAACATTCCAAAAACGATCACAAAATAGATCAATTTGTAAGCATTACACGTGTTGTAAGTAGAGCCCAACCGATATATCGTTTTGCCAATATCATCGGCCGATATATCGGTATCGGCGAATATGCCGCCGATATGAAAATTTTTTTACAGAACATATAACGCAGATAAAATGCTTGAAATGGTGTAATTACTTAGTTTGTCCAGCAGAGCGCGCTCCATTGTTTGCTACTGGCGACCTGGATGAAGCGCTTTAAAGCTTAAGTTTATGGAAAACCATTGAAACTTTGAAAAGCCATATCTCCGTAACGGCGCGGCTAATCCGCACCAAATTCGGGGGATCCCTTCAGCTCGAGGAACCCTCTCGAATGCGAATTGAGT